CAATTTACACTTTTTATAACAAATCTTTCGAATATCCAGAATAATGGCATGGGGTTTGAAATATCGACGTTGGTCGTGGTATGCCTACATTTCGATGGCTAAAACCGAATATGTAATTGCTCATTCAGCTCTGAACATTCTAACCCTTCTTTATTAACCCTCCCTCATGTCTATCTTTTCCTGCATCTATCCTGCCTAGGTTGACTTCAACCAGAGCGGATGGAGGAAATGGAGGATGAATGGAATGTAAATTAGTTTGCTATTGGTGTTTCGATTCTTGCCTTTGTTTCCCTCCTGTCAGTCCAGCTGTCTGAACGTCCGTCATGGTTCTAGGCCTTTATTCACCCTCGCCATCTCTAACTCTTCTTAATTTGTTCAAGTGGTCAACTGTTCATCCATTCATACAGCTTACATTCAGCCATCTCCATCAGACCCATCGATCCAACCATGCATTGTAAGTATCGCGGATCCTACTATTCAATTGCTCATTCCTTCTATTCTCCTTTCATCACATATCCATTTAATTCTTTGCTCACTGCAGATCTATCGGCCAGTCTGTTTACCCCTCTTGAATTCATTTGTCTTCCTACTCTTGGTTGCGCTTTCTCCATCTTGCCGAGTTATTGAGACCATTTGAGTGGATTTGGAGGGATTCATTTGCCTCCCGTTCGACTTTTTTCTAGCTAATAAAATACCCTTAAATTGTTCAATCTCTTCCTCTGATTCATCCCAATATCTTTGACCATGTCAATCCATCGTCTCATCCTGCATCTATCCATTCATACAGTAGGCATGTGCTCTTTCTAGAATTGTTTGCTCCTCAATCTACTCATTCTTGATTCGCTCATCTTTCTAACTAATCCCTCATTTTATCTCAAGTTCGCTCACTCAATCAGATCATCCTTCTACATTTAACTTATTCATCCATCCACCCACCTTTGGGTGTTCGTAGGACTTTCCTTCCCCGGCCGTTCTGCTCAACCATCCACTCACTCCCATGCTCTCTGCACTTACAGAACGTCACATCAATTGCGGCACATGATGGGGTGTTGGCAGCTTTGGCCTTCAACACCTCCTCCACCCTCCTCGCAACTGCTTCAGAACGTGGCACAGTCGTTCGAGTCTTTTCCATTCCCGACGGTGATAAATTGATGGAATTCCGACGTGGCTTAGCCCGGTAGGTTGTTGATTCTCACCTATTCACTCGTATTTCTGTTGTCCTTGCCTGTTTCGTGATCTCTTCTCCATATGCATTAACATTGCTCTAAAGTTATTCTTCCTGTGGTATTAGTGAGGCTCAAAGTAGCCTATTTTCGACTCATTTGAGGAGAAGGAATGAGAAGGGGCCCTTGCAACTCAGTTATTTGTTCGAATTGATCTTTTCGTGGCCTTTTTTATTCCTTCTTCTCATCTTCATCGGCACCGATGTGGGGAAACACTCAACTTGGCCTGCATAGACACAGCATTTCACTCCCCATGAATTCAATGTCCTACTCTTGTGTGCTTCTTACAATTTCAGAACTTTGATTTATATCCCTTACTCGAATCATCGCTTCATTTCCCCACACTCGGATGATGGAAGCATTTCCATTACTTTTGCCTTATCTTTGCTCACTGACTTCTCTCAGGTACGCTACCATTTGCTCTCTCAACTTCTCCACGGATAATCGGTTCTTGGTATGTGCAAGCAATACGGAGACCGTCCACGTCTTCAAGCTCTATGGGTCGGCCTCTCCCCAGTCCTCTGCCAAGTAAGTGAAAATTGAAGGAAATTTGGGAGAAGTTAATCGCCTTCTATCAAGAGACGCGTCTGTCATCTTCCCTCACAGAGTCGAGGACAGTGCTTGCACACCGGCATCATCTCAACTTACCACCGACACTAATTTGGCCTCTACTACTGACGACACAACCTCTGCTAGCAGTTGGACCGGCAGTCTGGTAAACTGGGTTGGAGGAGCCCTTAAAGCGGGTGTTGCCTACCTCCCCAATCCTGTGGCTGAGGTCTTTTCACAGGACCGCTCCTTTGCCTTTGCTTGGATTCCTTCTGGTGCTGCTAACCTGGCAAATGCGACTCCATCCGCCGCTGGTCAAGCGAACGCCACGGCACCCATAACTCCTCACGGTGACGGTGAGTATGGAGGTAGCGGGCAGGCCGGCACAGCGTTTAAGAAGACTGCTGCTCTTCTCAGGTGAGAAGAGCAGGAAAATAACTTTTAACCACTAAAGTCATTCTTGTCTCCTACTTTCCTGTTCTCCCTCTTAGCTACGGTGATCAGTACCGACTTTTGGTGGCAGGATTGGACGGCTACCTCCACATCTTCACCTTTGATCCAGCCCGTGGAGGTGAAGCCACGCTGTTGCGAACTCAGAGGTGGGTGTTAGTGTGATATTTCTCTTCTGTCTCCCTAGCCTCTTTCCGCTCTATACTTCTAATCGTCTTCTCTGTCCCCTTTCTTCTCTGAAATCTTGTTTTCAGGCCTGGTGATGCTAAGAAGGATGGAAATTATCGAGTGATTAACTTTCGAAATGTTAAATACATGTCGTGAGTGCAGTTTGTTGCTCTGATGTGTTGCCCCTCTTGTTCACGACGGGTTTGAAGGTTGGAAATGGGGGCCTGGTCAAATTTCTCCCCTTCCGTGTCTTCTCCTCTTCCCTGTTGCTTGGTTGGCTCGTGGTCTATAATTTACCCTTTTCAGGCTGCAATACTTTTACACATCCTGCTACATTTGGTGTTGATGTTGTTTAACTCCAATTTTGGGTGTGGATTCGACTTATTATTTTCTGAGAATATGAGGAAGTGTATTTAATTTAGGCCTTCTTTCTAATTGCTTGTGCGAGCGTAGGCAACCAATGGGTTTCCTGCAACCTTGAGACATTAACCAGAGAGGGACGGTTTTGAATGCCCCTTTTTATCTCCTCCAAGGCTTATTTCTCTTCTTTTGCAGTCTAGCCGATGTCTTGTTCATAAGGTAAGCTGTCCTAGATGGTACGATCTCTGTGAAAGAGCCGGATCAGTAAAGGGGCGTGTACAACGTCTCCTAGGTGCTTGCAGCCGTAGGAGCGCGTTGCTTTTCGTCGCTCATCCACTTTTGCAGACTTTTTTTTGTAAAATACGTTTTTTGTAGGGATGAGTTCATTGCAATTCGAAAGGCGATTCGGAAGAGGGCAAATAACTTCAACTCGGCATTGATGTTATCTGAGTAAGTAGCTGTCGAACGGCCGACGGGAATGCAGGTCTCTTGAAAAGCATTAACTATTCACTGAATTTCGTCTCCATCCTCATTTTCCACCTTACCGTTTTGTCTGGATTCGTGTCTCTTACAGGAATACGCCAGTTTGTGACCGTGCTGGAGTTAGATATGTTGCAGTTGTACAATCATTAATGGAAGGTGCTATGCGTGACGACAAACCGTAAGTATCTGTGTAGTTGCTAGCAGCGATGGCCTTGACATGGCGGTCAATCAATTATCTCGTAATAGAATTTTGACTCTCTCCACTTTCGCACTTACTTCTTCTCCCTCTCTCGATCAAATTTCGCTCATTTTGCTTTTTTGTGCTTGGTCTATTCTGAGTGGAGGAATTGCGACCCTGTCTCTCAATATTTTGGGTGCCTCATAAGCTCCACTTGGATATCGTTCTTTGTCCCCTGGTTCCAAGTGTATTTGTTTTTGAGCAAAGTAAGTGGGAATCATTTTAACTATGTCGAGTGTTTTAAGGGTCCAGTTCGGCTCCCCGTGTGTGTCAGTGGTTGACGCTTAAAATTCGTTTCACGATTTCTGTGCTCCTTTTAATAGGATCGTTGGATTATCTTGTTTTTCAGCCTCCTCACTTCGGGTCCAGGTCCTTCAAATATCCCATCTCAACAACAAAAACAGAGTCAAGGGCCCACTGATACCTCTTCATCCTCGCGCCGCAGTTTCGCCGCCGTCGCCAGTTCAAGCGGGGACTCTTCAGCAGCTCGTAAGTTATCCTTTCTCCCAGGCTTACCTTACTTAAATGCACATTAGTAGCTATTATTCTATTTATGGAATTGCTGCAGAGGAATTGCTGGCGACGGAGGTGATGATGCTGGTCACCCCCTCGACTGCTCCTCAAGGTCACTGCTACGAAGCGGAGTTTCCTACCATCCAGTCTTCCCATCCCACTCCTTCGAGAAAAAAACACTAATTGTGCAACTTATTTGGTTTATTTTTTCTCCGTGCCTTTAGAACAACCGAAAAACCTTCATCACCACCAGCACAAGTTGCAGAAATCCTAACGGTAGGTCGTGCATTGGATTCTTGCGGTCGAAAATGCAAGAACAGAAGCGAGGTTTCCATCTGTGAATCATTCTATCTTCCCCTCCCTCCCAA